TCAGCTATGGTCTTTAACGCTGTTTAACGCTAACTGGAGGTGGGCACATGCTTCTTCGGAATGAGTGATGTTCTGTCCCGATAACTGTCTAGTCGGTTTGTGACTGAAAATAGTCTTAGTATTCTCATTGTCGAGCTTGTCACTCGTAATAGTCTAGTTGCTGTAGTTATCCTGCGTCTGTTGAGGCCTAGACATTTGCGTGCCCGAACTAACGGGTGATCACTGTCTTATCCCATGCTGCAGAAAGGGATACACTCTTCCATTGATCCTCTCTAGGGATATATAATAGTGATGTGGTTTATCTGTGTTCACCGCTGATTTGACCGACCGATAGCTGCTACCTTGACGTGGTGGTCGGGCTTGCATATCACAATGACCCAACGAGCTATGCTGGTGGAACGCTTGTTCCCTCGAGGTCCTACCATACCAGAAAGGTCTGTTGGGTAGTGGTTAGACGAAAAGCAGTTACCGTTATAGTGTAAATTGCTACACTATGATGGGGGTCTGAGGGCGAAGTCGTACTGCTGCTAGCTGGATGGGGTGTGACAGCAGTAAGGTGTTTCCCTTGGATGACCAGCAGTGCCAAGCTGATGCTGCCTTCTCAGTGGAAGGGGGGGTTAGAAAAGGTCGGCCCCAAAAATAACACACTCCACCACGCCCCACGGTCTGCCGGGCCGGCGGTGTTGGTTCACTTGTCGTTTCCTTTCGCTCATCCGGCCCCAAAAATACAAAAATTCAAAATAATCATACTCAAAAGGCTGGGTGTGACAGGCCTCAAGCAGATGTCCGATGGGCTCTGCGGTCACACAAATCTCTTTCAGGTACCTTAAGAAGAAATAGCCTTCCACGGTGTGGGCAGCCGGGAAGTGTCAACCGCCCTCACAACTCTGTCAGCACCCAAGTTTCTTCTGACTGCTATCCTCCTCCTCCATCATTACCTTCTAATCTTCCTTCACGTCTCTTAATTAATGATGCTGCATCATCTTCAATTTCTCCTACCTCTGCAGCCTTCGACAACGATCTGAGTCCACAGAACAGCATCCCTGGTCTCCTTAAACCACGCTCCAAATTACATATTGGAGCCTTCAATGTCCGCACCCTCCGTCAACAGGCTTCGTTGGCAAAGACTCTAGCAACTCGGGCATGGATGTGTGCTGTGTTTGTGAGACACGCATACAGGACCCAAGTGTGGTTATTCACCTGACCTCTCCTGACCAATCTGGTGAATCTGCAAAATTCACCCTTCGAGTTTCTGGAGATTCGATAGCTAGCTCTCGTGGTCTTGCAGGTGTAGGTATAGCATTAAGCACCAGGGCAGAAAACTCACTACTAGACTGGATCCCAGTTGATAGTCGCCTCTGCGCTATGAGGCTGAACGGCACAGTGAGAACTAAAAGGAATAGTGAGACTCGCCGTTGTCTCTTTGTAATCTCTGCTTACGCACCCACTGACTGTAGTTCGGATGAAGTGAAGGACGAGTTCTACCATAAACTGTCTAACCTCCTCTCGAAAGCCAAACGTTCGGACGTAGTGGTTGTTGCAGGTGACCTCAACGCACAGGTGGGTAGACTGAGTGAGGCAGAAAGGCACTTAGGTGGCACTTTCGGAATCCCAGCTGAACGTACAGATAACGGTGATCGCCTATTACAACTATGCTCAGATAACCGCCTATTTTTAGCCAGCACAAATTTCAGACATAAAGAAAGGCACTGTCTGACCTGGCGTCCACCGAGCTCGACTCAGCGATTGACCACATTGCTATTAGTCATCGCTGGAGAGGATCGGTGGAAGACTGCCGCTCCTTCTGGAGTACGTGTTTGGACAGCGATCATGCGTTGGTCCGAGCACGTATATGCCTGCGTCTCAATGGACGTAGAAAAAATTTGGCAACAAAACCACTACGAGTTCTGCTGGACAACGAAAACACCAAAGCCGTGTTCAGTGAGAAGTTGGCTAGGCAGTTATCGGAACAAAAGACTGTCACTCATCCAGAAGAAGCTTGGTGCCATCTTCAGTCTACTGTAAAAGCAGCACTGGAGACTGTAGCCGACTCCAAGATAATGGCTAAAAAGAGCCAGTGGATATCAGCAGCTTCTTCCAAACTAATGGATGCACGTGAATGCATCCCTGCAGGCTCTGAGTACAATGAAGAGCGAGCGCAACTTAAAAATAAACTGACGAAAAGTCTGCGCAACGATCGTGAACAGTGGTGGGCAGCAAAGGCTAAAGAGATGGAAAAGGCAGCGGCGATCGGTAACAGTAGACAGTTATTTAGACTTATTAAGGAGACTGGGGGGAAATGGTCAACAACAGTTAGTGAGGTTATAGCGGAGAAGGACGGATCGGCGATTCACTCGCAGGGAAGGCGACTGGGACGATGGGCAGAACACTTTGAGGAACAGTTTAACTGGCCTCCAGCCACCATTGCGCTGCCCGCTATCCAGTCGGACCCTGAATGGGACATAGAGACAGGTCCCCCAACACTAGAAGAAGTTGAGAAAGCGGTAGGTAGCCTGAAACGGGGAAGGGCAGCAGGACCAGACGGACTACCTGCTGAGGTATACAAGAATGGTGGTAGAGTTCTCTTAGTCAGGCTAACGGAAGTGTTAGCCAGTATATGGGAATCAAATACGATCCCCTCCGACTGGTCTAAGTCACTCATCATCCCAGTCTTCAAGAAAGGCGAGAAGTCCTCTTGTGATAACCACAGAGGAATCAGCCTGACAAACATAGTGTCTAAGATCCTAAGTTCTATAATTCTCCGACGCCTGAGTGGAGCTCGGGAACAGCAAGCCCGAGAAAACCAGGCAGGCTTTAGACCTGGCCGTGGATGTATCGACCAAATATTCACACTGCGCCAGGTCCTGGAACATAGGCATGCTTACAGACGCCCGACAATAGCTGTATTTCTCGACCTGAAGGCGGCATTTGACTCCGTTGATCGAGAAGTCTTATGGCAGTGTCTGTCACTGAAAGGCGTGCCTAGTAAGTACATCACCTTATTGAAAGCTCTCTACTCGAACACTTGTGGGCATGTTAGAGCCTATGGTGAGTTGTCCAGGGAGCTATACTCATCAAGTGGTGTCCGTCAAGGATGCCCACTATCCCCATTCTTATTTAATTTTATCATAGATATTCTTATGGAGGTTTCCCTCTCGTCACCTAATTACAAAGACGTTGACCCGATCACAGGTGAATTTTCCTTAGATCTAGAATATGCAGATGACATAGTCCTGTTAGGTGAAGACGCTGACAAGATGCAGAGTCTTCTGAACACTTTGAGTGGGAATTTGAGAATGTTTGGGATGCGATTTTCACCACCCAAATGCAAATTTTTGCTCCAGGACTGGTCTTCAGCGGTACCGCGGTTAACAATAGAGAGTGAAGTGGTTGAGTGTGTTGACCACTTCACTTACCTGGGAAGTAGGATCAACCCGGTGGGTTAGTTGCCGATGAGATTTCTGCACGGATACAAAAGGCTCGATTGGCTTTTGCCAATTTGCGCCACCTATGGCGCCGCCGTGATATTCGTTTGTCTATTAAGGGTCGCGTGTACTGCACAGCAGTCCGCTCTGTTCTACTGTATGGCTGTGAAACATGGCCATTGAAAGTGGAAGACATGAGAAGGCTTCAGGTGTTTGACCACCGTTGCCTTCGTAGTATAGGACGTATTCCGTGGTGTCACCATGTGAGTAATGCAGAAGTTAGGTGTAGAGTTTTAGGGAGAAGAGGTAAGTCAGTCGACGAGGTTGTGAACCTTCATCGACTGAGATGGTTGGGACACGTACTACGTATGCCTAGTCACCGATTGCCTCGTCACACAATGTTGGCTGAGGTGGGTTCAGGCTGGAAAAAGGCCCGAGGTGGCCAGACTAAAACATGGCACCAATGTATGAAGTCTCTGACTGTTGGTTTAAGCCATGTAGGACGATGCAGACTAGGTGGTTGGGGTCCACGGGACAAGAGGAACCAGTGGTTGGAGACCCTAGGTGATATGGCTCAGAACCGAAGTCAGTGGCGCAGATGTATACACACTTAACAACGCTATACCGAATCTCACTATTTTGTCACTCCTCTTTCCTTTCTTCTCGTACTTTATATTTCTTTTGACTGCATTCACTTATCTTCATCCTTCACCTCACTACCTTTTTACTTGATGTGCTGATATGAGGTGTGGCAACTCGGACCGTTACGCAGTAATGCCTGGTCCTATGTTGATAATGGTGACCGTTGATTTGAAGTCATTGGACCACGTCAATGTCTCTATGCTTGAAGTTCGTGCCGTTCAGAAGCAGGTAATTATCTAAGAAGCGTTGCAGCAGGCATTCATCATTGTGTGTTCATTTAGCTGGGATTCCAAAAGTGTCCAGTACTTGCCTTTCTGTCTGACTTAACCTAATCACTTGCACTTTGAAGTCACCTACAATAGTAACCATATGTGGACGTTTGGCTTTCAGTATGAGGCTAGACAGTTTTCGGTAGAACTCATCTTTCACTTTTTCCGAACTGTAGTCGGTGTGTGCGTAAAGACAGATTTCAAAGATACATCTCTGAGTTTCACTGCTCTTCTTATTACCCAGTGCACAATTTAGTCGAAAAGTCCGAACCTCTGTACACGAAGTGGGTTTCGAATGCGTAATCTACTAGTTGAAATCTGGTGACCTAGACTATTGAGCTATAGCCGTGCATTGTAGTTAGTTTTTTAGGTACAATTGTAATTAATTTGGACTTATGTATTGAGCACAATGTTAGCGTTCCAGAAAGTTACTAGACTACTAATCATACTATTTAAATGTGAATGTTGAATAACAAGCAAAGAATTAAAACTATACATTTTGTTTATTTCAAAGCGTGTAAAGAAGAGTTTGTGATGCAGCTTTTTTGTGCTCATAGCATACTACATTGCTATGTAATGGCTTATTTCTTTGCATTTTAGATCACTATTTCAAATACACATCTTTTCGGGTGTTTATTAGTTGCAATCTATTGGATTTTGCAAAATGGATTCTGCAGAAAAGCGTAGAGTGAATAAATTGTTGAGAAAACCTTCATCACTTGGCAAAGCCCTAGGCTTGAGGCAAAAGTTATCTCGTAATGCTCAAAAACAATCAAAATCTATACCTACAGTGTCCGAAAAACCTTTAAAGCAAGAGATTAATGTTGACGTTGCTACTTTATGTGCTGAAATGTGTGGTGTATCTAATCTATCAGAGTCTGGAGCTACTCTTCTTCAAAAGCATCTTAATAAAATTGCTCGACTTTTAATCCATGAAGTCCTCCGTGTAATGGAACAAAGTCGTAGAGGTGTTCCGCAAGCATCGGATATCGACTTGGCTTCTGTTTTGATTGGACTTGAAGTAAGTTTTATCAACAAATCCCTCCCTCCCTCTCTCTCTCTCTCTCTCTCTATATATATATATATATATATATATAATTGGTTCTCGAAAATGTGTTTAGAAGTTATGCAAAATAAACAATCTAACTGACAGATTGACTGACAAAATCAACGTAGAACCTCACAAACAGGTGCGTCAACTCAAGTTACCACACTTCGCAGTAGTACACAAAAAACAGATTGGTAAAAAAAGAGTGGTCAAAGAAGACGAAGTTGTGTGAGAAAACAAACAATCTGAAGATGAAGGTCAGTGAGAAAATCCAAGCTTTAGAAGATGTCAAAAAGGGATTTACACCATTGTGACCCAATTTTTAGCCATATCACCAAGAGTCAGTCCTCAACCACTGATTCCTTTTATTTTGAGGACCCCACCCAGGTAGTCAACGTCGTCCCACATGACTCAGACCAACAGAAAGAGACTTAGTGGAGTGGTGCAAGGTTTTGGCCTGGCCACCCTGAACCTTCTACCGACCGAACTCAACTTCCCCCAGCATGGCACGTCGAGCTAAGTTGGTGGCTCAGCATGCTCAGTACTTGTCCAAGCTATCTCACTTCATTAAGGTTCATAACCTAGTCAATCGACTCACCTGCCTAGCACCCTTTGGTTGACCTCAACATTGCTCATACAGTGATTCCATCACACATGAGCAACTCTATGAAGACACCTATGGTAAAAAAACTGTAGCTGTTTCATGTCTCCTACTTTTAACGGCCACGTTTCACAGCCGTAAAATAGGACAGAACAAACTACAGCGCAGCATACTCGTCTTTTGATAGATAGTCGGATATCTCATCAGTCGGTGCCGCAGACGACGCAAGTTGGCAAATGCCAAACGGACCTTCTGTATCCTAACTGAGATTTCGTCAGCAACCATCCCTTATGGGCCGACCCAACTCTCCAAGTTGGTGAAGTGGTCGACACATTCAGTCACTTCATTCCATATCATTGAATTGGGAATACTTGCGGGCCAGACCAGTCCTGGAATGCTTTCTTACATTTGACAGGTGCGAAACGCATGCCAATCATACTCAGATAGTCTGTCTAAGGTTGTGTTTGTTTTCACTGACCTCAGATTGGTCTTTCATAAGTTTGTAGTCCTACTGCTATTTGGGACAGCTTTTGCTGCTACCATTTTGGCAGTAACTTTGATTTGAAGGCCTTAGATATCCTTTTTTCAAAATGACATCTGTGTAGACAAGTAATGAGTGTTTACAATCAGAGCGGTTTGAATGGAGCAAGCTGGAAGTTTCTTATCTTCATTTCCACTGTTTCGTTTTGCCTAAACTGTGCAGAGATTTTGTGTATCCTAGAAACACCAATTGTCAGTGATTGTGGTAAAATCATAGTCTGATACTGTAAAGAGCCAAACCATCTGTCTTATGGATATTATTCCTTACTTTTAGGCAACTCATTGTCTAATTCACACACACAGGTTCGCTTCTTTTGATTAAATCGTCCACTGAGTGCCCAAAAGAGTGTTAAAGCGTTTCATAGACTGTTTTCTTATTTCTGGTTCACCTGCTAATAAATAATTGTAGTTGAATGGAGCAACACTACGCTCAGTCTCATTTACTAGACTATGAATCAAAGATGTGTTTTTGCTGATAATAGTCCTTGATCACCTAAACTTCATTAGATGGACTGTGGTTTTACTTCATCATTTTGCGGTTTGACTCCATATGCATAAACCAGCATGACACAACTCCACTATGTTCGATGTAGAGTTGAGGGATGAGTTCTTGTTAATGAGGTAATAAGCTATACCGATGTGGTCATCGTAACCGTCATCGCCGACACTGGGTTAAACTTGCTCAGTGGGATAAATGGAATGCTGTTCAGTTTTTTAAATGTACCTAGTTAGCGAGTCAGCAGTGATAGTTACTTCCTTTCTATTGATAACCACATCTACCTAATAATGAAGAATTCTAATCACAGTTTAGAAACGTTTTTGACTTGTCACTGATATATGCGATCAAAATGATGGCCTGTGGACTTTCGTATCTTCTTTGGTCATTGTTGAAGAAGATCTATAGACAGTAACTACTTTATAAGAAGTGTGCACTGTGAGCTTACTGAAATTTACATAAAGTGAACACTCAGTTGCAAGGTTGGTAATTCTTCTCAGGATAAATTGGTAGAGAATTCCGCTTAGTATGAAAGAGCCAATTAAATCGGTAAACAAACTATTATCACACGCTTATTTGATAGGCTTCGTCTGATGTTACACATGATGAAACTTTAATTCTGTTGATCTCTAAGCATAATAACGAATGAATTCAATTGAAAGTCTAAGAAAAGTCAAAAAGAAACTACTTTTGTCTCTAACTAGAGTAATTGGAATCGGGCACAACTCATCAACGCGATTAAATTATATTATGTTGATTTCATAAGCTTCTTTATCTCTAATAAATGCCAAGAGACATTTTAGTAGGATTCTCGTATTGTTTAAAGTTCTCAACCAAGCCCATTCTAACATGGAATTTCCGATGGAATATAAAAATAAAAGTGGATAAAATGTTTTAGATCAAAGTGTATTACGCAACATTGATTGTACCATTGGAAAAACCCTAAATAGAAAAGTTCCATGAACAGGTCAACAGCTCAACTACAATAGTTTTTCTCTTATCATTTATAAATGAGGTTTAATCAGGACACTTTTCAACAAAGTAAGAGAATTATGCTCAAACAATAGATAAACTGGAAGAGAAATTACCTATCACTTCAAAGATTTTTGAAAAGAATGAATTCTGTAAGAGGTTTTTTTCTGAAGTATGGGAGTGGATATAGTGAAAAATCTAAACATCTGGCTGTTGAAAAGTAGTCAGGTTTTATTCGTTTAGCATCTAAGAGAGGTAAAAATATCAGAAAAATACATGGGCAGTGAAAGAATGCACTGAAAAGAAACATCCCTTCTACTAGGCTGATATCAGTTTACAATGCTACCTGCTCACGTAGTCAGTGTAAATGTATATAAATCCCTTTCTCACGTCACCTCCAACCATATTTACCGAATACATTGTACTTGTGAAACCAAGTTCATAGGTAGGACTGAGAAATGATTATCTACTAGGTTTTAGGAGAATGTCCCGAGAAATTAGTGCCTGATAAGGAGCAATATATTTAAAAGTACCGTAGTCGGATACCTGATAAAAATTGGATGCTAAATAGATATTTCCGAAGTCTTCAGAATAATGAATGAACAATTATTAAGTTTACTTGACGTTTGTGTACAAAATAAAGACTGATTAATCTTTCCTCACACCGGTAATTTGTTGTCATTGTGGGTAACATCATTTCTGCCTTTCTACCTAAATCTAATGAGGAACGATCACTTCAGTCTGTTTGGTGGCTAGGAGTAGAATCTAGGACGCGCGTTTCCTCTTGTTTGAGACTCGTCAGTTGGATGTGCCTGCACGCCAGTGAGTGATGTGCTCATTGAGACTTGAATCCAGTACCAATCCCTCCAAACGCCAAGACGTTATCCACTAGGTTACCTTGACGTGGTGGTTGGGCTTGGATATTACAATGACCCAACGAGCTATGCTGGTGCAACGCTTATCCCCTCGGGGTTCTGCCATGCTAGAAAGGTTTGTTGGATAGTGGTAAGACAAAGAGCAGTTACTGTTGTAGTGTAAATTGCTGCACTATGATGAGGAGTCTGAGTGCGAAGTCGTACTTCTGACTGGATGGGGAGTGAAGGCAGTCCGGTATTTTCCTTAGATGACCAACAGTGCCAAGCTGATGCTGCCTTCCCAATGGGAAGGGGAGGTTGGAAAAGGTCAGCCCCAAAAATAACACATTCTACTCTACCCCACGGTCTTCCGTTACCGGCGGTTCAGGTTATGTCTATCCGGAATTAGAACAACCAAACCTCAAAATAACATCGCACAAAAACCCGTATGTAACAGGTTTCAAGCAAATATCCTATGGATCCTGTAATCACATAGATCTTTTTTCTCCTTCAGATACCTTAAGGCGAAATAGTCTTTTGTAGTGTGGGGAGCCAGAAAGTGTCAACAGCCCGCACGCTTCCAGTAGTGCAAGAAACTCAGTTAAACATAACCTATCCTTCTCAACTCTATCTCCTCCTTTGCCTTCACCTCCTGATACTGATATTAGGCCTCTTACGCCCTACACACACTCACTCTGTGACCATTGCCAACGATCAAAGCCATCAAAACTGCATTCCTAGCCTCCTTAGACCATGTCATCGATTTCATGTAGGAGTTTTCAATGACTGAATTCTATGCTACATCGGACAGCAAGCATCGCTCTCCAAAACTGGAATCTCTGGCCATGGATGAATGCTGTATAAGACGAGTACAAGACCCGAGTGTGGTTATTAAATATGCCTCACCTACCCATAGTAGTGAATCTTCAAAATCCACTTTACTAGTGAGTATCCGGAGACTCAGTGTCTAGCTCTTCCTGGTGTAGGCATAGCATTGAGTTGTAGAGCAGAAAGTGTTCTTCTCGACTGGATACTAGTCAATACCCGTCCATGTGGTGTTCGACTGAATTGATCTATAAGGACTAGGAAGGATCTGGAGGCTAGGTGATACCTATTCGTAATCTCCGCCTACGCACCCACGGACCGCAGTCCGGATGGTGCAAAGGAGGGATTCCATGAGAGGCTTTCATTTTTGCTACAAAAAGCGAAACGTTCAGATGTTATCATAATGGCAAGTGACTGTAGCTCTGGAGTAGGGAAGGTGAGCTTCGCCAATCGGAGAGGCATCTGGAAGGTATTTACGAAATGGTATAGTGGCGAACCGACAGTGGTGGTGGTCTGTCGCAATTTTGTTCTTACTATCATTTGTTTCTGGCCAGCACTAACTTTAGGCATAACGAGAGGCACATAAGAAGATCGCATTGCTATGAGCCATCATTGGAGAGGATCGATGGAGGATTGTGGCTGTTTCAAGAGTACCACTTTGGACTCCGGTCACGCGCTAGTGCGG